TTCATCTTCTTCATGTTCTTCTTCTTCTTCTTGAGTTTTGCAAGTAGCTCTGGCTAATTTCTTCAATATCTGAGGCTTTTACCTGAACTACTGCCTGAAAATCCCCTTCTTCTAAGTTAGGCAGGCTACTGTTTCTGTAGAACATTATCAACTTTTACTAATTATTAGAACCAACCCCACATACTTTTTTTTCTTTTTCCATATATATAAATATATATATATATATATATATATATATATATAACTTTTGTAGCAAAAAGGGCATTAAACAAATGGAAATGATTTTCACTTTTCAAGAGCTTGGGATGATGGTTCCAACATAGCCAACTCCAGTGATCAGAAAGCTGAATGTCTGAAGGAAAAGGTACACAAAGTAGTTGTTCTTCCCATGAACAAAGTCATAGCATCCACACAAGAACAGGAATGCTGCAAATCCCAGCTCCAATGTGTTGATTCTGTCCTCGTTTCAACACAAAAACAACAACATTAGCCCGGGTTTTAGGTTGAGTTTGGCACGAAAAAAGTACGAGTTTCTTTCGAAGAAAAATAGAGTCAATAGGAGCTCCTGCTAACTTTTTGACACGATGTTTTTAATAGAAAAATGAATCCTTATGAGAAAGTAGAAATTCATACTATGTGGGTAAGTATTTTTCTTTCACGTAAATGTATCACTTGAGGTTTTACTTTTAAACGTGATCTCAACCTCACTCTTTAACCGTAAATTCAGTTGGAAGGAGAGAGATGGTTTTGTATTTACCTGTCGGCAATCTTGAACCTAAATCTTATCTTAGGCACTTTGGCATTTGTTTTGTTCTTGACATCATTAGCTGCCTTGTTCTTGAGAGCATCTCCAAGTTTTTCAGTGACAACCCATTCGTTGGCTCGACCGGCTTCAAACAGGCCGATCAGCGTCGCTTTCGTACGGTGCAACGACATGACGTTTTCGAAGAGGATCCAGTAGAACAGAAGGTGAATTGACCTGCATTTTTTTTTTGAATGAGCAAGATTAATTTTAGGCTCTGTAAAAAAGAATTGAGTGGAGACGTAACAAAAAAAGGGCCAAACCTTGGAGTTCCAACTGAGTTCAAAATGGTGATGATTGAAGGAATGTAAACAGCTCCCCAGATTGGAACATAGACTTCAGGAACCAAAATGGTAAGGGGAAGAACAACACAGTAAAAAAAGAAAGTGACCATATGGGCTATGATCTTCCGAACGAAGAAGAAACTGTAAATCACATAAACTTTCTTCCACAGGTTAACTTTCTGCAACAACAAGAAAACATGGAGTTAAAAAACAAAACGACAGAATTCTGGGAACTATTTGGAGCATCATATGTTGGCAGAGCCTTGAAATAACCTTATTTCTGACAATTTCCATGACCATTTTGCGGAAGAGATTTGCAGGACCACAAGACCATCGATGCTGCTGGAAACGGAAGGCTTTGAAAGTACTAGGAAGCTCACTTTTTACCTGCAAATCCATGCTTACTTAGCTAATCCGACAAAACACAGAGGAATCTGGTTTTTAGCATGACTATAAAGATGTATTTTTTTCTTGTTATCTCACCTGCAGGTCACCGAGGTAGACGAATTTCCATCCTCTAAGACTAGCTCGGACCGCAAGATCCATGTCCTCCACTGTGGTCCTGTCCTTCCACCCACCTGCCTCGTTAATTGCAGCTATTCTCCATACACCCGCAGTTCCTGCAACGTACGTCATAATTCAAAAAAATGCCTTCCAAGAATCCCAATAGGAATTTTTTCTTCTTTTAGAAATTATATGTGTTCGATAATGTCCTATGTTTCTCCTTTCCCATTTTTGCAAGATTTATGTTAAGTATCCCGAGATAAGAGACTTAATAAGGATTATAATATAAATGTGACAGAACTCTCAGCCAATTGATTTTGAAATGTAACACATGAATATTAATATGATATCAAAATTCAAAAGCTAAAACGAGCATCAGATCAAAAAATGGGATCCGACCAAGATTAATGAACCTAAAAGAGCCATCCTCAAGAGACATGTTAAAAGATCCATGTTAAAAATGATAAAAAGAGTATGATTTGCCTATTTCAAGTGAGAAAATAGAGTTAAGTATGATATAAAATACCATTGAAGCCAAAGAAGGCATGGGTGGCAGAACCAACTTCTTGCTCCACTGTAAAATGGTAATCCAAAGACATCTCCTGCATCCTTGTCAAAAGGCACTCATCTGCATTTACTGTTCAAAAGAAAACCCAAAAAAAAAGGTTAAAAATAATTCTGGAATAAAAAATAATAATTTTGCTTCCAACCCTTTCTCCTAAGGTAAAAAAATGATTGTTGGGTGGGAATTTTCGAAATCATAAACTGAAAATGACTTTCCCAACTCAAATCAACAAGTAACTATGAAGAATAATTATTGTCACAACAACAACTACAGTGAAATCAT